GAAGAATCCGTGAGAAGATACAGATTTCTAGCTCTCACACTAATTTCTGGATGGACATCATATTGAGCTGCATCAATCCAGTAACATTATCAATAGTCAAACTGTCATTCCCTCACAGTAGGCAAATGAGAATAAATGTTACTAACAACTGAACTCATTTACTCTCCTCACCATGAAAAAAATATACCAGACGTCTAATTTCATCAACATCAAATAAACTACAGTAACAGGCAAATCTGAAAAATCATAATGTAATACTTCTTTAAAGAAATCCAGTAAGTACAAATGGCTCAGCCTCATACAGAAAGACATATACTGAATAATGCACCCAATCTGTAAATCACAAATTAGCATTAAGATTTACTACCTATTATCACTCACAATCACATACTATCACTCTTTTCAGATAATTGTACTTCATTCCTATCTAGTCATGTAGAGACACTTATTTCATACAGCTCAAGTGCAGTATCTCCTGTGCAAGTATCACTGAAAAGACAATTGCACCGTGAAAACTCCTGAGTTGAAACACGAAGAAGAAAAGCACTATTAGGAATCCAAAACACGATTGCCTACTGGTTTCCCATTCACTTCCTAGTAATCATTTCTTTGAATGAGCATGCACAAAAAATATAAAGCACCAAAATTAACAAAATTAACAAGAGCAAGAAGGTATGACAGTGCACTCAGCAATGGTGATGGCGAGAGAAAGGACAGACAGAGGAAGGATGGAAGGGTAATCGTATATCTCTTCATAATAATTTATGGTATTTTGTTAAATAAATATAGAAAAATGAATAAATAAAGTAAAAACAAATAGATGTTTTCATATGCTAAATGACTGGACTGCTTACCAGATGACAGCATTATCAAAAAGTATCTTTTCTTCTCCAAACATTACTTCCCACATCTCCTTTTTGTATGCCTAAGGCAAGCAAAAAGCAAACATAATGTAATCAAGGAAGTCTCATGAGTGAAGCAAACTCATTTACTTTAAAAGTTATAGAAAAAACTGAAACAACAGAGGAAGCAAAAGGAAAAAAATATATATATACTGCTAAGAATTACTAATATTATCATACCATAAAACAACAACTGAAAAACAAGGACAATGCTGCCACAATTATGGTTTGAATGACTGACAGCATAAAATAACGTCAGAAATCTCTTTATGTACCTCCTTCACCTGCATACATAACCTACAGCAAACATAAGAGAGCCTTTTGCATTTTTCATGGAAACATCTTTTCAATTTCTCTAATCTGAACATTACCTAGATCAAATTGAAACCAAATAATGTAAAACTTTCATGACATTTTCTATCTTCCTTCGCCAATAGCACTCAGCCCCGAATAATTACTACGTCCAACAAAGTCCAAGGCTTCATGGGCTGACTAGAGAGCTAATTTATAATTTGGGGGTCTACTATAATACACAATCACTTCAGCTCAAATCATCTGGATATTCATAATATGGATAACTGGGAAACCTTTCTCAGGTTCTTTACTATCTAATCCAGTGCACATTTATCTGAGCATTACAATTGCTATATTCATTATCTAAGGATAAAACATAAATCAATATAGCTAAAAAGAGGAATGTGGGCAAAGGGTAAAGGGTAGAGGCCAGAGGCAAGACAGACATATGAAGAGGGAAGAGCAAAGGAAAGAGAAAAGGGAGAGGGGAGATGAGGAATTGAGAATAAAACAGACTTTAAGAAAAGTATCAAACATAAAGAATGAGGGAGGAAGAGAGCAGGGAAAGGAAAAAGGAAGTATAAAGGAAGACTGAGTAAAATATACACCGACAAAGGGAGAAAAGAGGAGGGGGAGAGGAAGGAACAAGAAAAGGCAAATTAAAAGGAAGAAAAAAGAAAGAAAAAAGAAAAAAAGAAAGGAAACAAGAGGGAAAAAAAGAACAGAAAGATAAAGAAAGGAGAAAAGCAGAAAGAATAAAATGAAAAAGTAAAGGGGGAAAAAAAAAAAAAAAAAAAAAAAAAAAAAAAAAAAAAAACGAGGTTAAAAAGGGGATGAAGAGATATATGGAGGAAGCAGGCAATGAAAAGAAATGAAAAGAAAAGAAATAAGAGGTAAGACAAGAGTGGGAGAGGTAAGGGGGAGGAGGAGAGCTTCCTGAAGTGAATCGGATGATAAATAGATAGCAAAATCACATACACTAAAATGTGCAAACTTGCAAACTTTCTGACAAAGATAAGCATGTCTAATGAGCAAAAATCAAAGCAACTAAGCTAACTTGCAAAAGATTGCATAAAGAATATAACATGAAAAAACAAAAAACCATGTTTGTACTGTTAAGTAATGATTTTAACTATAATTAAAATTCTCAGTCTTTGCACACACACAAAAATATATATAATATATATAAAATAATGATTAAATATTAAAAAGTGTAACTGTAAATACAGAAATCCACGTTCACATATGCGCACGCGCGTGTGTGTGTGTGTGTGTGTGTGTGTGTGTGTGTGTGTGTGTGTGTGTGTGTGTGTGTGTGTGTGTGTTGTGTGTGTGTGTGTGTGTGTGTGTGTGTGTGTGTGCGTGCGTGTGCGTGCGAGTGTGTGTGTGCGTGTGTGCATATGCATATGCATATGTGTGTGCATTTATGCATGTCCATGTGCGTGTGTATATTAAATCTATTTTGAGAACCAGAAAACTGCCCAAGTAACTTACCCATCGCATTTTCTTTCACCCGTACGTGTTACTGTACTTAGAATATCTGTTTGTGTATGCACTTGAAAATCCATTAACTTTTGAACCAGACACTGTAAAAAAGTCTGTTCAACCAATCTACTCATCCCACAACAGGCACACTCTGAACAGACATTGGACTTGTAATAATAATAATAATAATAATAAAAATAATAATGAATGGAATGCATAAGAATACTGATAGCAAAAGACAACAATAAAAAACAAAAAGAAGCAAATGTTCAGTAAGCATTATCATCCAGCAGAGAAGGGTCTTTTAAACAAAATCTCACTCTCATTCTAGTCATGTCACAAAGAGGTTTTACATCAGCAAGATCTTTAACCCAGAGACTCATACTATAAACTAAACCATGCAAATGATTCTGAAATATATCAGGGATTAAACTGGAGGAAGCAATTAGATTCATAAGTCAATTCCCCAGAACTATGAAAACGGAGACATGAACAGAAGTAGCGCAATTCCATTTGGTTTTACAATGCAATAGCTCTTGTCGATAGAAAAGAGCAACAGGCCTTGATACTGATTCTTAAACCATCATGCTAACTAATCAGAAATGCACAGCGGCTAAGATGTAGCCAAGTACTGTTACTTATATAATCAAAATGATATATACAATATGCTTTCAAATATATATAGATATATGTGTATGTATGTTAATAAATAAATGTGTGTATAAGGGTGTGTGTGTGTCCACATGTGAGATAATATGCTGCTGATATCTGCAAATCTAATTAATTATGAAGATTGTGTAACAAAATATTTGTAATGAAGGGATTTAACTATGACCCAGTGAATGATAAATAAAAGTAAAAGGGAAGAGGTAAAAATACAAAAACAAACAAACAAACAAAAAATGTAGGAGTTCCATAGTAAACAGAGACAAAAAACAGAATATTCTAAGGAAAAGACTTCAGAAAACTATATGGTTAAGCAATGTCAGTGATGGTGTCACTGTACATCTATTATGCATAAGATATTCATACATATATATCAATGAGTAGAAATGGCATAAGAGAAATATCAAAATTTGTTTTTGTAAATATAAAATTCAACATGAATGGAAAGATAGCATTACTCAGATTCACATTACACTTATAATACCTTAGACCTATCTTATCTATACTCATTTACATATGAAATCACAATAATCCACTAGTTCTGAATCTGGGAAGAACTGTTAACAAGTGGCTCCCGTTTCTATTCTCGTAAATATCCAAACCTTATCCACTAAAACTTACTCTTGAAACTCGAATAAAAACGTGCAAGTTACTTCTGAAATTAAGATAGCTCTACTAGTAACTCAGAAAAAAAAGAAAAAAAAAAAAGAAAGTTACGTTCACATTACAGATACTGGGAGTCACTGATCCATGAACTGTCTCACTATGGTTTTGCGTTACTGTCTTTTCTGAACGTACAGAAATCACCATAAGTGCTTAGTTTCTAAGGAGGTAACTACTTGGCTACCTGACCTCATCTATTCAACTAATTTCTTGAATTTTGGGCGAAAAAAAAATTAATTCCAATTATTGCTGTTAATCATAATAACAACAGCAGTAATAGGAATGATAATGAAGATGATGGTGATGATGATAATAACAATAATAATCATAATAACAAAAGTAATAATCATAATCATAATTATTATCATAATAATAGTATCATTATCATCATCATTGCAATCATAATAGGAATGATAAAAAAGATAAAAATAATGAAAATGATCATGATGATAATAATAACAATAATAATATTAACAACAATAACAACAAAAATAGCAATAGTAATAATGATAATAAAAAACAATCATGTTAATAAAAACAAAATAATAATAATAATAATAATAATAATAATAATAATAATAATGATAATAATAATAACAATATTAATAATAATTATAACAATGACAACAAAAACAACAATAATATTAACTAAAAAAATATATAAATGAAAATAATAACAACAACAACAATGAAAACCAAAAACATGAAACCATAACAATAATTATATAACAAAAATAATAATAGTAATAACATAATAATAACAGTAATAACAACAAAATGATAAGAACAATAACAATAATAATAATAATAATAATAAAAATAATAATAACCTTACTAATAGTAATGATTATAAAATTAGTATTAACAATAATGATACCTACAAGAACAACTATAATACTATTATGAGAACAAAAACTATAGCACTAATAATACTAAAAAAAGAATAAATAAATAAACAATAAAAATAATAATAAATAATAATAATAATAA